TGATATTATCATGGCAGGTCATATGCTATTCTCACCCACACCATATGATGTGAAATCAAGTGGCATGCAGTGGTGTACCAAAATTATTGTCTCACTAATTTTATTTTGACTTCCATATTCTGTATTTGAGCAGGGAGAATGATATATAGTCAGGAAGATAAAATCAATTTAGATTATCTCCTTTTAGGCTAAGGTTGCCTACTGCCTCAATTGCTGGCATTTTATGATTTGTGGTCTAAACTGTTAAAAATCACAATAACTTAATACTTTTTCTGGGTACTCTAGGCAACTATACTAATTATTGATTTTTATCAGATGCTCTTTAGTTAATACTAAAATTTTTAAAATATTATTTGACCAAAGGACCACAGACTCAGTGAAAATGTGAGCAGAATGCAATAGTTTGATAAACTTCAAAAAATGTAGGTCAGTGTGAATTTGTAAAATGATGCAGTTCTATGCAGAATTATTAAAATTTGTATATTACTGAAATCAACACTCAAAGACCTTTCTAAAAGTGCCAGAAACAATATTATATGTGTATTTTTAACCTTTATCCAAACAGCAGGAGCACTGTCAACCGAATTTGCATCTCATAGCAGGAACCAACACCACTGCCTACTGCATAATGAAGTATCAGAATAACAATAAGTTACCTTGTCAGATGAAATTTTTTAGTTTTTGAACTACATAAAGCAAATAATTTTATCATTAACAATTCAGTGGCTACTTCACAGATTTGTTACACAAGATCATTTTTAATTGTGTGTTTTGGGCACATATGTTGGTAATCCTATGCCTATTTTAAATTACACAAAATATTCCCTCTGACAAGGAACACACACTTTGTGTTAGCCAGTAGATTCATGTTTTTAATAAAAGAATGCATCCTAAACTTGCACTAATAAACATTGATATTCTTCTGATTTGTTTAATAATTTTCAGATCATGATAAGACACTACATTTGTTAAAACATCCACATATTTCCTCTACAAAGCTATTCCTTAAAAACCTGTGTCTGATAGGACTAAGCTTATATGGGAAGCCAGGTTTGTAGGAAGATGCAGTAGATGCTGTTAATATACTGAGATAAACTTTAAGATAATGAAAAGCTTATGTGCTAAAATAATTACCTGCTTTTTCAGTTATAACAGTTTAATGAGCAGTACTATTCCAGCTATGAGCCATGCAACAGACAGATCATTTATAAAAATAGAACAAGATTATTAATTAACCTAAAACATGTTTTGCATTTACAGAACTCTTTTTCTCCCCCCAAAATTGTTTTGAGCTTTAAAAACACAGGCCAAACAATTTGCCTGTATTCAACTATCCCACTTCACATTGAACCAGGAAAGGTTTATCCTGAAGCAAATTGATCCAGAATCCACCAAGTATCATGCATCATAGCTGGTATTCGTGATGTCATATAGATGATACCCATATATCCCAAGAAAAGATTGCTCAATGAACCCACAATACCTATGAACAAAGAGAAGGCTGGCAGTAAGTGTACAAATTTAATCCACAAATCATTTAATTTCAACCAATTTTCAATTTACTTTAATGGAATTTGGATTTATTTCCTCTAGGAAGGCATACATGTAGCAGGTCACAAGCATGAAACTTCTCAATGAACACATTTCCACGTAAGCTATCTGGAACTCTAACTCCATTTGGAAGATTAAGTTTATGTCTTTAGCACCACTTATGCTTATACACATCATTCTCTATGGGAACAGTGAAACCCCTGCATAACGTGTGCATAACATGTTAGAATTAATCTGCTAATGTGTGAAATAGTATATTCATATCCAACTGCTTTTAAATTCTTTTGTTGCTCCCTTTCAAATTCTTGAAAGTATGGTAAAAGAGATGAAAGCTCCAGGTTCAAATAGCTTTAAAATAAATCTATATTTATGTTAAAACATCAATGCTTTGCCCAAGCAATGTTTGGACTGCTACATGCCCCTAATTTTGTACTGCGTCTCAGGTTAGAATCATCTTGGGAGCTATTATCCCTGAGACAGTATTGTCTGCATGTTTGGTACAAATGTACAGGGCAGTATAATGCCTGATAGAGATATTTTAGCACAACTGACAAAATGTGTAGGCTGCAAAAGTATGTTGAAAATTATTTGTAAATGGTTAAAAAATCTCAAACTTTTACATGGATTATGGTATAAATATTAGTGAGGATGTGTGATAATCAGGAATGGTCATGATGATTTGGATGATAGCACTTTCTGAAGAGATCATGAATTACATTGAACTTCAACAAGTATTTTAGACTTCATCTAATTTCAGCAAGTAAAGATTATTAATCATTCAAAGCAATCTGGTAAATTCAGATTGATGACGATGGGAAACATTTTGTATCCCATTATCATTATTTCTGTAATACAAAACTGTATTTTTGACATTATTTGTGGGTTTTTATCCCCAGTTCTGTTCTAAATAAAAACACTTCCATATACACTGTTTGGAAGAAGTACCTGAGTATATAAGAACATGAATAGACTGTAGTAATATGTTGATAGTCATTTCATCCATTATAGATAGTGGTAGTAAAGCTGAATAGAGGGTTCTGTAATCAAGAAGAAATAGTATTAAATACGTAAACCAATGGATCATACATTCTGATATTGAAGGTAAAGTGGCATAAAATAAAAGAACAAAGTTGATACTATATGCATTGTCGATTTATTCATTTGTTTATGATTGATGGATATAGAACAAAGAGTTTCCAGGTAAAAATGCTTATGTACCTACATGCAGTGACTCTGAAATCTGTACCTTAAGGACAAAGAAAGGTCGCCAATCTCTCCAACTCCTAGTTCTTTGTCAAAAATGGACACAGTTAATGAGGTTTGTTTGGTACAGCACAAATTCTCAGACACAGATAGAGATCCTTTCAATGGAAACAAATTTGTTTGGCTTTACCAGGTTACTTAGCGATTAATAATAGCCTTGAGATGCAGGTCAGAAAGGTCATCGTCCCTGCTTGCCAACACAATCTAAAATGTGCAGCTAGTCCAGCTCTGCAGGCTTTGAGGCCCCGGAATGCTATGCATAAAGTAAAACAGGCTATTTTCCAACTTCTTTTTTCATATTAATAAGCAATTTTCAAGAGAAGGGTGGCAAAATGGGGGCCATGCCACTCTAAGTAATTCATTTATTTTGCAATTTAATCTTATGTTGGAAAAAAATTACACTGCTGCAAAAGCATAGCATGGTGATTTTTAAACGTCAGTGTGCTTCATAAGTAACCTTGTATGAAATATTGTATTAGCAGCCTTTAACAGTAAACTGCAACAAAAAATATTTTCAGAGATTGAAACATACCTGTACATTTTTTCCAATCTTTATTTCCTTCTCATTCTATTTTTCTTTTACAGTGGAAATAAAACGTGTTTAATTACTTAAAATTTTACTTGTTTTAATTGATAAAAACTTGAAAGATAGCATGAAACAAATAAAAATTCTACACTGCAACTTGTACTTAAGAATGTGAATTCATAGTTTTCATATTTATAAAGCAATTATTATTCTTTCATATATTTCGATGAACTAATTTAATGATAACTAAAATATCAAGAGTAAGTCGGAGCCACAATCTTAAAAACACTTTCACGAGCAATATGGCTTTCCCATGGGATTATTCATATCAGCAAACTTATCCATGTGCATATTTTGACATGATTTGACCCATGTCTTCACAGTGTCTTATTTGGTACTCATTGAAACAACTGAGACTATTAATGTGGACCTCTCTAAATGATCTGTTTTGCAGGAATATTTGAATTATCTAGTTATGTGAATAATATTTTTCTTTTTATTTTATCATATACACACATGCTTAAAAAAATAAAGACTAGAATTTACTCACTTAATTAACATTTAAGCAATCTAAATGCTTGACTGAATATGCTTGGTGTCTTTGGCACACAGGTTAATTTGAACTAGCCATTTTGTAATAACAAAAATAACAAATGTTAATCAAACTAACCTTTTTTAACTGGGTCAAAAAAATTCCATAAACGTGCACTGTGCACAATATCGTGGAATTTCATTCCTTATAGAACATTAATTCACTCTACTGTTTGCATAATTTATGGCAAGCCTGGCTCTATGGAAAAAAAAAGCGCCTTTGAGGAGGAAATCTCTGCCCATTTTCTGTTAAAGTTTTACTCTAAATATTCAGTTAAAATCGTGAGTTTCCTCCGTTCTTTGAAACCTGATATTAGGTATAGTTCCTTAGTTCTTGTATGATGAAAGAATTTTCTACACAGGCAGTGGTTCATGAGGCAGTTACATTCCTGTTTCTTGTGGTGGCCTGTATGGTTCCTATCAAACCAGAGCAGGAATGACCTATGCAAGAAGTCTAATGCCATGGAAACTCCTCTTAAGGACAATGTATGCATAAAAGGTTTACATCCAGTTTTTCTCTATGCCTACATTCTCAACCTTATAAAAGGCTCAAGGATCTAGGAGTGAATGTGATCTTTCATACCATGTCTACTATCCTCTCTCATTCCATAAGATCTCCCCTTTCTGCAGATCAGGAGGGGCTGCAAGGCACTAGCTGAGACATAAGTAAACAACTTCTGTTTTAAAACCATTTTCAGGAAAATCATTACATTATAATAGCTCCTGCTTAGAGATAATAAAATGACTCTCAATTAAAAAAAAAAGAACATATATGAATACTATTTTATCAGGCTGTAAAAATACATAGGTTGACATATGCTTCAAAAGAATAAGTGATATGAACACATATACTGTTCATACCTTTGATCACTTTAATCCTATTTCTTCATAGTTATATCTGTGTAGATCCTGCTGCTGTGGAATTGAATGAACTGTAAGTTTGCATTCCAGTGGCTTCAGTGTACTGCTAATACATAATAGCTATTTAGCTATGAAAGGGTTAAAGTAAAATAGAACATTAGCACACCTTTTATTGTTGTAATATAATAGCAGACTTATTTTATTACAGGAGTGAACTTCAAGAGTACGTAGAAATGAAGGAAAATGAAGAGAAAATGAAAGACCTAGAAAAGAAAGAAAAGGAAAAGAAATACCAAGCCCGAAAGATGCATTACCTCCTTAGCACTGAGCAGGTTGGTATACCTGTCCCTGACAGCTCATGCAAACCACTTGGGCCCCCAGCCTGACAGAGATAAACTAGCAGGCTGAATGGGACATGACTTGTTGAAAAGATATCACAAAGACACTACTTCGAGTTCAATTTAGTGCCTTTCTATAGGCAAGAGCAGGTACCATGACTATTCTGTGACAGTAGCCTCATAGAGGCAGCATCAGCACTGCTGGCAGAAAGAGTCCAAGTCAGCAGTTTGATCTGCCACTGTGATAACACAACATGAAGGGCATAACCTCGCTTTAAAAACTCATTTTGACTGGCTTATTGTTGTGTTGTTGCACTTGTCAAGAACTAACAAGTTATTAAGCTGAGAAGGGATTTCATTTTTTTCCCCTTTTTTAATTGACTTAATGCTTGGGTTGGTGCTGTGTTCTGCTTGTTTTTAGGATAGATTGTAAATGCAGGTTTTCAACTAAAGCTTTTCCTAGAACTACCTGAAACAGCTTATTTAGCATGATTGTTTTCATTGAGAAATGCCTCATAAATTTTAAATATTTGCTGATTAATTTGTTTTGTATCGATAAAACTGGTATGTTTTTCCAAGCTTTCTTATGTCTACTTTACAAACAGGTGAATATGGCAGTATATATATCATATGCAAAACTGGTGTGATTGGTAAAGCTTGTGGGTTTGCCCTTTTTTTAGTCACTTTTTGTGAACTTTAGAAAAAAAAAACAAACCCAAAAGATTTTGCCTCCATAAATGTTTGGTGACTTGTTGTTCTTCGTATGAATATGGAATTAAAGTGAAATGTTAGTATGAACTAAATGCTTGCTTTTCATGGATTGGTAATTATAATCTGTGTCTAAGAACTGTTAATCCTAAAAAATGCAGAAAAATACCATGACAGCTAGTGATAAGATATTTAATCTTCCCCTCTGTTTGGGGCATTTGTAATTTTATTTGAAAAAAAAAAAAGCATAGTACGGTATTAGTAAAAAATAGCATAAAATGTTTTCTGAGTGCCTTTTAGACAGAGCTAGTTAATAACAGAAATTAGATCACTATAATGGATTTCTCCAGATGTAGATCTAGGATATTAAGAATAATCTGCACAGTACTTTTATATTGGTTTAAACTGTAGAAAATCGGGAATTTTTGTTTTGAACAGAACAATTAATGTAAATAAATGCATAAACATTACTATGCTTACCTGGAGCACAAAAATTGTCAGGTTAGAGACATTGAGTGACCTGTGGTCCAAGATCTTTTTAAACTTAGTTTACCTAATATCTGATTATACTGGCTTAGCAATCTGTGACATATTTTTAAGGAAAGGCAAGTAGTGCCTTATTTCAGCCATCCACCGGAAGACTGCTGGTAGAGGGCAGCACTAACTATTATGTTCTGATGAATTTAGATTTCTAATTTTACAGAATTATAATTTAATTAGCAGTGTCTTGCAGAACAAAAATATGCTTGGTTTTGCTTGCTGAGATGGTTTGTAAATACTGGGACTCACAGCCCACAATATTTTTTCTTTATGGTTGAACTGTGGTCCAAGAACCCTCTTCTTTTGCAGGGAAATATTTCAAAACATAAATGAGTGTAAATCTATGCAAAACTTACAGACAACCTGAACAACAGCAAAGATATATTTGAAGTTAACTACTTACTGCAATCAAATCTATATTCCACACTTGCACATAGTTGTAGAATTTCATATCTTGCCAAGATACAGGACAAATTATTTCAGTGCAGAATTTACTGGTTTGATTCTTTGTTTGACATTTTACTCTCTATATGCCTGGTCTTCTGATCTGACTACAGCTGTGTCTTGTTGTCTTCAAAGGATAGTTAATTGGATTACTTAGCTAGGACCATTCATGTCTCAGTAGAAACAGGCAGCAAAAGTTAACACTTTTGAGTGATTAAAGTAAGTTGGTAAGCTGGACGAGTCATGTATCAACTAAAGCCCAGTTAAGTCACAGAGAACTTGCTAGAGTTTGCTTCTCCTCCCCTTCCTGTCATACAATGATGGAGCTGAGCCACCTTGTGCATCAGGGCTACAGATGTTCAGGCAGGTTATAGGGACAGCATTGCAAAATCTGTATTTGCAATAATTGTTTCAAATATATTCTATAGTTTGGAATCTTTTTATTTTAGTACAGGCAAAAAGGGAGAACAGGGTGTTTACCTACTGAAAGAAAATATTTAAGGAGTTGCTGCTCCTCAATTTTTGTCAAGAAAGGCATGTCAAATTTCATTCTCCACTGCCTACAAGCTGAAGCCCACAAACCCATCTCAGAAGTGTTATATATAATACATATAATTATATACCTACATATATGTAGCACGCTATAAGGTGTGTTCATTCTTAATTACTAACATTGTTTTACACTTCAAAAAATAAAACTGAAGAATGCAGTGTCATGAACATACAGGAATGTCTACTATGTACATAATAGCATGGGCTAGGACGAAGTCAACATTTTGTCTTTTTCATGAATTAACTTGCTATTAAAGGATTTATTTCTTTCATAAACTGTTACCTCTATAAAGAAAAGCAGAGATGAAGAAATGGATATCAAACTCTGAATTAGAATGCATTATTTGTCGTTACTGGTACCAGGTATATATACATAGTCTTATATAGACAGCTTGCTTTGATTCCTTTCCAAGCCAATCTGGAGCTATAACATGGGGCTGAACCCAAACTAATTAGCCCTGTTGAGAGCCACAGTATATTAGCTCAAGAATTAATGCAGTTACACAGCTCCTGGTCAGCTAAAAGTATGAGAAGAATAAATGTGTGTATGCTTTAAACTCAGGAACAAAGAGTTTGATCTGCATACAAAATATTATATAGACATACATACAATTAAGTTGTTTTGTCTGCAGTTACACATCTTTCTGAGGGGAAGTTGTGTGTCTTGGGTACCACTGCTAGGGAACTGACATTCAGGGAAATCATTGGATGGTTAAAATTATGTGCTATTATACCATACTCTACAACTTTCCTATATATTTTGCAAACAGTTGATTGAGTGTATTTTGCCATGTAAACTTACACAAATATGACTATTTCCTATTGCTGCTTATAGAAATACATTGCGTTTACACAAATATTACAATCCACTGAAGAACTAAGCAGTTCATTTATATAAAAATGTTAGTACTTCAGAAGTTTATTCATATTAAATAATATAATTATTGACTGTCTTTCTCTGAAAGTACAATGTTATGTATCCCACCAATGCCAACCGAATAATATCTGGAGGAACAGAGCATGAGCTCTAAAACTTCAGGGTTATGAAATACTAAGCTTTTAATCAACGTGCTATATGCCAGTAGTATCAATAACTAGTCAAATAGCATGAGTTGCTTGTGTTTAAAGGAAGCTTTTCCTACATGATTCCTTTAATTTTAAAAACAAACAAACAAAAAACCTTCTTACCACATGATAAGTTATGTTCTCTGCTCCACTTTCTGTTTGCTTATTGCAAGAGATTCCAGTGTAAAACACAGCAAGAAATAAATCTGTGGGGCTTCCAAACTAAATTCCATTTTGAAATAAGATCTCTATATTTCAGATTTTAAAATTGTTATATAATGCAATTTTTTCCTTATCTGCTTTTTACCCTAGCAGTCTGATAAATTTTGACATCATGATGAACATGATAAAAATTACAGTACATATTTAACAATTCTTTGCCTTTGTTAAGAATATTTCTTATAAGTTCTTATTGGCAATGCTTTTTAAAGTTGTTTTTATCTGTTTTATCATTAACTGTATTGTGATTTCTTATTGAGACATGAAATTTATAATAATTAAATTTTTCTTATTAGTCCAGAATCACAGTATGCTATTTCCACTCAGTAGTAACAATCCTTTTTTTTTTAAAGATGTCATTAGTAGGTGAACTACTTATTAAATGTGGTTTTCATTATAAACATGTTTACCTATGCAGATTATCCTTCTATGTCCCTGTAGTTCCCCTTTCTGTATGAACAACATTCACTATAATTGAATAGTTTCTTACTTCTGCTCTTTGTCATATTTTCCAAGCTGACATTTGTAGTAAGGACCATCTCTGCAAAGTGCTGACGAATGACCTTTGAAGTCAACGACAGACAGAGGCTCTGAACACATTGATGGCACTTTGTAGAAATGGGTACAAAGAGCCCACTTTTGTTGAAATATGTGGTTGCATGATTCCTGAGGTCATTGATATTTCCAGCTTTTCAAGAAATTTTGCAGTTGGTCTTTGTCTTACAATGATGATTAGCATTAGGCATATAACAGCCTAAATCCAAAGATCCAGTATCAAGCAACAATGCAGACCTGTATTGTTTTAAGTATGTGCTGACAGAGCAAGCAGCAATGCTGAGGTGATTCTGTGAGTGGGAGCGAATGTGTCAGCTCTGCTAGAACTACTGCTGCTACCCAGGCAGAGCATCTGCAAGTCCACGGTGTGATGGGGAGCAGAAGCCAATGGTAACTGAAATAGAGAGCAGAAATGGTGGAGGGAGAAATATCATGCATGATTCATAAGGTATTGAGATCAGGAGAACAGTCTTATGGAAAGTCTTCAAAATGCCCCAGCTGAAAAAGCCTTTTGCTATTACAGTTTCTCCTGTCACTGAGAAAAGGATTGGAGAACAGATCTTTTTCCTTTATGGTTGTTTCCTGTGTAGCAAACAGTACTAGGTGAGGTAAAAGAGAATTTTAATTCTCTTTTCTCCAGTTTTCTACTGTTTATAAACAGATAAACCACAATTACCTTTTGTCAGAGAAAGTGAATGTACAACTAGTCCAGGAAGCCAAAGTTCTTTTGATCTGCAAAAGCTTGAGAGGTTACAAAACATATTTTTATGTTGTTGATAATGAGATGTTATACATGCATCACTTAAGCTTATCATTGCTGAGGCTGGTGGACTGAATCATGGCCTTATTTCTAAACCTGGAACTCCTGCTCTGTAAAAAATCATGCCGAGAGCAGATGAGCTAATACTGGT